TTTAATTTTAAATACCGTCGCATGTTTCCATGCTCACAATATTCTAAAACCATATAAAATTCTCCATCCGTAGGATCTTTAGATATTCCAAATAGACGAATAACATTCGTGCTAAAATCTTGACAATAAAGTTTATGGTGAACTTTTAACTAAATTTTATTTAAAAAAATTGTTAATGTTTTTGAAATTTTTTTTTTTTTTCATTTTCAATGATATATGCATACCTCGTTGATGAATTCCACTGAAATATTTTGTGACTTTTTAAGCTTTTTCAATATTACTTTTATAGGGCCTTCACGATAAAAGATGCTAAATGTGTCTTTTTTTTCAATATCCAATGGTCCGTCCCTCCAATATGCAGAATACACTATGCCAAATGCACCTTCGTCTATTCTTCTTAGATTATAAAATTGTTCAAATGGTATCCACTCAAGAATTACATCTAACCTCCATGCACCTTTCTGTGATTCTCTAATTATTTTATCAATTTCCAAATTACCACTTGTCCAATGCGAAGGTTGTTCTTGAAAAAATTTACGAACGCATTTCGAACAATATTTTTCGCTACATTCATGATTTCCTACATTAATATATACTTCTCTTTTAACAGACTTGAACGAAGAATTGTGTTCAACATCATTCATCTTAAGGTTCATTGAAATCAGATTTTGAAGCAATCATAACTCCGTATATATACATGCTTAAGTTGCACAATTTTCTAAATGAAGTACTGTTTATTCAAAATAGTTTAAGTGTGCACACTGTGATTTATCAAAAATAATTGATTATTAAATCTAAATATCCATTAAATATAAATTTATTTAATAAAAGGATATACCCCTGTATTAAATCTAGCTTCACTAATTGACTATTCTGGACGTATTATTGAAACTGAAAATTGAAATATTGAAATGTCACTTTTCTTAAATTGCATTGCGCATTTTTTTTCCGAGAATTCTTAATCTCTTATCGCATAATTGATATTTTTAATACCTCGATTTATAACAAGACGAATTATAAAAATAAGGAGACGATAGGTACATAAGGAAAAATGTTTTTTCTACACATTCTAAAAATGGAAGCTCATAATTTTTGAAAACTATGAAAATCAAAACTTACTGTGATTTATTAAAATGTACTGTTATGGATCCTAGTTACTTTTTATTTCACATGCAATAATTGCATAGTAATCAAAATCATATATTATAATAACAATCCAATTAAATAAAGGAATTTACATTTGATACTTACTGTGAAACCTTGCTCAAATTTCACTAAAACTCATTATACAATGTATAAAACTCCAGGAACAAGAATTAATATTATATATTTAACAATAATACAACATTAATACAGTTTTAATTTTAAATACCGTATTTGATAATATAATAATTTTAAAATATAAGCTAAGCTGAATAAAGTATAATTAATACTATTTATTTTAAAAATTAAAAACACTAAAAATAATATAAATTAATAAGTTCAATTAGTATTTAAAAGCATATATCAATTAAAAAATAATTAAAAATTTTTTATATACAAGTATTAAATATTGATACTTAATAATATAAATTGTTAATTTGTTTTTTATTTTTTTAGTATTTTAATAAATAATAATATTATAATAAATATATATTTTTAATTTAAAAAATATTTAACAAATTTAATTATATTATATTTTTAAAAAAGTTAAAATTAAAATTAAATATTATAATAGAATAGATAATTTTATTTTATTTTATTTGTTTTTTATTAAGTTATTGTAATTTTAGTTAATTTTTAATAGTATATTTATTTAATTATTTATAATATATGTAATATAAATCAAATGATTTAAAAAACTTAAGCAATTCAGAAGATTCAAAAGGTTTATATAGCTATATTATCTGTAAAATTATAATAGTACTATACAATTCAATTAATTTAATTAATCTGTACTAAAAAATATTATATAAATAACTGTTGTTTTATAATTTTTTGTGAAATTTATTAACTTAATTCTTATAAATAAACTTAAACTTGTTAAATTCTTTTAATTACAATTTGATATTAGATATTAATTATTAATTATTATAAAAGTTTCAAGAAAAACATTTTATTTTATTTAGATTATTAATAAAAATAATTATTATTTTATTTTTTACTTATTCTAATAAAAATTATTATTAAAATAATATATTATATAAGCTTATATAATTTTTAAATCCTTTTAAAAATAAATAACTCAAATACTAATTAAAAGAATTTTAATTACAATATTAATTTATTATCTTTATTTTAATTATTTAAATAATATAAAAGATTATTTTATTAAAAAATAATAATAAATTCAAAATTTTTTAAAAACAATTTTATATTAAAAAAAACATATAGCTATATATATATTATTTTTTAAACATTATAAATTTAAATTTAAAAATATAAATCTTTTATTAAAATAAAAACTTTAAGTTAATTAAACAATAAACAGATTTTATTATTTAAAAAAAACATATAATATTTTTTTACATTTTTATTTATTAATTAATTATTAATTTTATTAATATTTTATTTTTAATTTTATAATAATAACATTCATATTATTTCAATAAATTTGCCATTGGTTTAATTAAAACAAGTAATTATTATATTATTTATATTATTTAATATACTGTGTAGTTGATAAAAATATAAAAATATTGAATTGATTACTTCAATATATAAAAACAAAAAATTATTGAATTGATTACTTCAATATATAAAAATATTACAATTATTACAAGTTGGTTTTCAAGTTATATAAGAATTAAACACATCCATTTTTCAAGTATGACATTAACATTCAACAATTAAAAAAACTTATTTTTCATAAAAATATTAAATATATTAATATGATTTAATCAACATGCAATGTTAATCTGGTTATGGAATTTAACAAAAAAAATGATTTAATAAAATAATTTATATACTGTTAAAATAATTTGTTTTTTCGTTTTCTTGCTACGTTTATAAAGTGTAATCCTTTAAAAAATATATTTGTTAAAAGTTTCCATTTTTAAAATAAATCAGTTATCTTCATATCAAAAATTCATGAATTAAAAATTTTTTTATTTCTAAAGATATATTTCTTACAGAGATTTTGGTTTTGTATATTCAATATACAGTATATTTTCTTGTTCATGGAAATTTGAGTAATAATTTTGTGATAAGAAAGAAACTTGATTTATTCTTGACCAAGATTTTAAAGAAACCCGATAAAGTGTAATAATTTGTGTAATTTATAAAATCAGATATATTTTTATCTATATATACCTGTCATTAACGTGTTTCAATTATGTAATACAGTATTACGTATAATCAAAAGTCTTATATAATCGATTGCTAAATATGTATGCTGGAAATGGACGTGTACAGTATTCCAATAATGGCGTGATTTCAGAAATGTACAATAAGACAAGAACGCTAGAGGGATTAGGCCTTCCGGAATGGAAATTCGCTAAAGTCCCGTAGATCCTCTCGAAATTGACATCTACAAGTCAAAACAGAAAGACCTCGATCTGCATCATGTCATAATTCACGTGAAAATTGGCGATTCCTTTCCCATACAGTATCATTTTGTTCAACTTATCAAGCATTGTATGTGGATGGTTAGAAAATCAATTCTTTGACCATAATATAAGAACGTATGACTTCCTCGCTTAAACCTGTCTAATAAACGTAAAAAATGAGTATCTTATATTCCCTTAATTATTTTCCAAGTTTCTCGGCTTTCGCTACATCGATCTTCGTTTCTCAAGGTAATTATACAAAGACAAACGATTCGATCTAATTTAATATTGCCGATCAATCATTAATCTAAATCCTCACCAAAAAATAACCAAAAAGCTATCACAATAATTTACTATGCGTACGCCTTATTTGGAAAATTACAAATGGAACTACATCGGGAAAATAATTTTTCACCGACCGAAAGAGAAGCAATTGCTTATGATGTACCTCAATCCGGTGCTTCGGTAATTTTATAAATGCCTTTTGGTTATGCAATGTA